TCTTTTACCGAAAATAATTCCTTTCAAAAGTTTATTTGTGTAATCGTAGCCTTCAGCAATTAAGTTTTCTATTAGTTTACTCGATTTCAATTATCTAAAAAAAAAGCTTGATTAAACTAAAAGCACATTGTGTTCTAGAACTAGAAATTTATGAATCTAATTACTTTAAACAAGGTTTTTTTTTTTTTTTTTGGAAAATTCTTTAGAGAGTAGGCCCTATAACTTTTGGAACAATAATGGTTCCCTAGGACTCCTAGGTCTTAAAATGTTGATAGATATTCCCATCTTACACTGAGGAAAGCGTTTTTTAACAATACTACTAAGCCAGTTTCTGTCCCAAGTGTTTGGATATTCTGAGTGTCTGTAGATACCATCACCCTTTCTGGTACTGCCAGTTTTTATGGAAACACATCTTATGGCACAATATCCCACATTCTATAGATTTTTTTTTAGGAATATCAATATTAGGGGAAAATATATTTAAGAACATTAAATTACCAGTCTCTTTTTAAATAAAGTTCACTAGCAACTGCTCCCAGTATAAAAGTCCTTGTCATTTTTAGCTACCAATCAGTTTATACTAATACTGTACTTTTCTTTATCTTTAAACCATAATGGCATGGTTACCTCTGGATCTTTTGGAATCAGTCAGCCAGTTAGTGCTATAAGGCCATTTACTATACTGTCTTTTGCTCCTTCCTACAATTTGGTCATTTGAAGGCATCAGGCCATCCCTTCTATTCATTTTATTCATATTAAAAAGTTCTGGAAAACGTGGTAGAAGAGAGGAAGTTAGAAGCTAAAGCTATTGGCACAAATGCGACTTTGGATCACCTGTGAATTTTGAGCATCTCTTCCATTCCTGCCCCCTCATTGGCACGGGTAATTCAGTATCTGGAGGTGTGAAGAGCCACAAATGACTCCTAGGACCACGTCTACTTTTCACAGCGTGGTTCCAGGAGCAGCCGGGCACCGTTCTCGTTTCTGCTGGTGCGCTGTTCCCGGGTCTCACAGGCTTGTGGCCTCTGGCAGCTGCTGTCCCTTCTGGTGGTGTAGGAGCCGAAGGCAGTGACCACAGATACCTGGCTATGGCTTACAGCAGGATTACACAACTGCACACACACAATGGCAGAAAAAGAACAAGAGCCGAAAAGGTTGTGGTTTGGGCCCAAATCACTAGTCATTTCACTTTGTGAATAAAAACAAATGCTTTATAAGCTTACGTTATTTACAATGCTCAGATTTTTCAAACATCCACCCAAAACTGAGGACCACCACGCCACAAGGAACGGTTCAATGAACTATGTACAGAATTTACAAGGAAGTTTACACAATAATCTACATTCTGTTTCCATTAACAAACTCTGTCTTTTGTTTTCTACTGGCTTTCAGGAAACATTTTTGTTTATTTTGCTATTTTTTTCATCCCAGCAACCTGATGATCTGAATGAGCTTAAGCTGATGCTTGCATTTTCCTTTTGTCTCCCTTCTGGGACATGTCATTATATAGGAAAAGAAATGGTGACACATCACTGATTGGCAAGATACTATTCAAAATTGTCCATAGAAGAAATTTTGGAGATCACTCTACTCCAGAAGCATTATATATACATCTTTATTTTTTTTTTTTTTTGTTAATTTCGCAGATCATAGTTGACCTGTTTCCTAAATGAATATTTATAAAATAGTCATTGATTTTTAGAAAGATGGAATTTAATCCATATTTCTATGTATTGTGCATAATATTTTAAAAAAGGAAAGCCTATTCTTGGACCTTTAAGCCAAACTTAAGCTCTGTACCATATTGTTCTGTTTGGATTTTCAAGATCCTTCGTTGGCTGTAATGCATGCTAAAATAGCATGTATGGAAACACAGGTCATGCGGCAGGCGGAAGTACCCACCAGGCTGCTATTTCTTTTTGGCAATGGAGATGCTGGATGCAGTAATTCTGGGTAATTCAAGCACAGATATGTCTTTGCCTGGGTCTTTGACTCACAGAGTTGTAAGAATAACAGACATGTCATCTCTTTGAATTTTAAGCCAAGGAACATGAACAGAAGGAAGGACTGAGTAGTCCTCATTGTCAAATGACAGATGGAATTTCTGCTGCATCTGCACACATTAAATCTGCACAGTTTGTGTCACAGTTGGAAATGTGAGTATGGGGTTCCCTGGACAAGTCTGTGGCATAAGAGTAAGGCTGTGGAATTTTCAACCTCCTCTGCCACTTAATATAAGGAGTTATGGCTATTTTCATGGCAAAAATAAAACAATCCAAAAGTAATTAAATAGTAACCCTTGTATAATGTAATAATCAGAATCTTTCAAGAATGGGGGCTACTATGTCAGCATTTAAGAATGTTTTACAACTCTTATGTTTTATGTACACCATTTGGGTCAAGACAAAGGAGACAGACAGGATTTTTTTCGTATGCTTTGTTCAACCCAGAAGGGGAAGATTTAGCCAGGGAGTGAAAGATTTGTCTGGAAAGTATACAAAAAAAAAGAAGTGGGACCAGAGGTCACTAACCAGGAGCATGGAAAGGGCTGTACCCACCTGGTTTCCATTGCCTATAAAATTAGAGCTGTTTGATAAAATACTGAAAATTGTAGCTGTGACCTCTGTACTGACTAGATGAGGATACCACTTTGAGTCCCATGGGTAGATTCAGTTGTAAGTTTACATTTTACAAAGGTTAAAATATAAGAGCTCAAAATATTATCTCTTTCAGAAGATGTTTTACATGTAAAACACAGGAACAATACTTTAGATTTTTAAATATAAGATAGAAATCAAAATGAAAATACAAATTACCTTAATCTTTTCCAAGAAGAATGATCTAAGCAGATAAAGAGAAATGGTTTTGCTAAGGAGCATAGATTATGGACACTTACTTTCCAATTTAACATTTCATCACTAAAAGCAATTTAAAGAGCTGTGACATCAGAATTATTCATTTCTGTTGGCACCAGTCAGAAATGCTTCTTCCCGTGTTTAAATGGCTACACAGTGGTTCCTGAATGGTCATTATATTAATATTTACAGTCACTAGCATGGCAACATTCTACCCCACTTGGGCATTTTACAGTGGCAAAACATCTCACCCTGCCAAAGAACTGAACAGGGTTTCAAAATAGATGTCTTCTTGCCCATGGGCTGGGGATGATTTTGACCATGGAAGTTTGTTCACACAATAGAAAACCTAAATAAAAATCTGGTCCCCATAACTCTACTAATTCCTCATGAAACCACTGAGATCATTTTTTTCTAGTTAAAGTGGAGTTTTATGTTCTTACTAATGTATATTATTCAGCCATCCTTATTTATTTGGGAGTCCCTCTCTCCTCTTGCTTTCTAAAAGAAGGGCACATCAGTAGGAATTCATCCTTATGTTTCCAATTATGACTATAATTTCCAGTCACTTATGTCATTTTCCCCACAGATTTAGGGAGAAAGTCAGCTCATCAAATGAGACAGTTTTCCCTATTAATACCTCACCTTCTGCCAAATCACCTCTCTCACTGATTGGTCAATGTAGAGACAGCATTCAGCCTTGCAAATGAATATACAGAAGTTTTAGACATGCAAACTGAAAAAAATGAGATCTAAATGACCTACAACAAAAAAAATTCCAACTGTACCTTGTTGGACATGTTTAGAAATGTGTTGCACTATTGAAGGTCATGAGAACCTGGACCCAGAATAATACTGGAGCAGATATAAGGCAGAACAAGAATGACAGTGATTATGAGTGTAAACAGGATCTACTCTTTTGGGGCCTGCTGCACGTGTTAGAAAGCTCAGCGCTTTATTCATTGCTGCTGTTTTTTAATCTAGTTCTGCTACCTTGAGAGTTTTCTGGCTTTGGAGGCAAACAATATCCTTATGGGTGTGCATGCATGTTTCCCCAATCATTAATTCCAGAGTTTGGAATGCAGAGCTCAGAGAGCAGCTCCATAGTGTGTGTCAGCTGACACCTGTGTGACGAGCCTGTCACCATTAGATACTGCTCTCTGGAAGGCTAAGGAATACATACTACTTAATTTAAGAGTTGGCAGTTCAGATAACTTTCTGGGCATCTTTTATAGCACATACATTTTGTCTTCCTTATAGAAAGGACAACTTTTTCTTGAGCAAAAAATTATTTCCATCCTTTCCTTAAAAGCCCTCCACACCATAGCAATGTGTCATTTATTTGTCTGCAGAAGAAACTGTGGAAATGTTATAGGGTGGCTTCATAGCCAAACCTCAAAGGATTCCAGGCTCGTGAAATGAATTCAAGGCTGATCATTGTTTTCATTAAGAAAGTGTTCACACCCCTCCACCCCAACTCTTCATTCTCAAGAGGAAAAGGAAAATGTTCTCAATGGCTATCAGTTTTACCAGACTAGATTCTAATATTCATTTTACATCTGTGGGGACTTCTGAGAAAGAAGCCTTTCTGAGGAAGTCCAGCCTTCTGATGAATGAAGGGAAGATGGAGGCTGAGTGTGAACAGCCATGACCAGCCCTTGCCAAATGCTCCCTCCTCTTCAGTGGATGTGAGGAGGCCTTCCCTAGTTCTGGGGTATTTCAGAACAAAGGGAACCTTCCTTACTTCCTAGGAAGCTCCCTTTGGTTTCCCCAATTTCCTGGAAATCTGTAATTATCAATGGCTTTTGGTTTTTCTTCTGAGAGCCTGAAAATTGTGGCTGTAGTAGATTCTTTTTTGTTGTTGTGTTTTTATTTTATTTTTTTGTTTTTATTTTTGTTGTTTTGGCAACATGGTATTATTTCAGTTTGCCAGGAAGAAGTTCAGAGGGACAGCAAGGTCCTCTTTTGGTTTCATTTAAAAATTCAATAAAATCTAGGGCAAATAGGAAAGACTGCTAAAGATCTACTTATCTGACTGCTCTCTTTTTCTTTGTTTGTAAACATGGCAATTAATAGAGCTCTTTCAAGAGCTGATAACCTGGACCACAGTAGATTGAAAAAAAAAAACAAAACAAAACAACAACAACAAAAAAAAAACAGTTGTAGGTTTCGTTTTGTTTTTCTTGAAATAAACATGGTGAAGTAATAAAGTCGGTACCTAAGACCTAAACTCAAAGGGAGGCTGTATCTCTTACTTCAGAAGACACAGCGGGGTCGCTGTTGGTGACCTGCAGGGTTAAAAACCAAGAGAGGAGGGAAGTAGTCTAAATTGAACTGTTGGGACAGACCTTAGTGTACATAGTAAAGCCAATAAACGACATTAAAAAGGGAAAAGGTGATGGGGAAGAACATTCGGGACCACTTGTCTATGGAATTCACATCAGTCAAGTCGGGGATTTTGACTTTGAGCTGAGAGGCACGCCGGCGGATGCGACCCTTGCCAGGCACCCCGTGCCGGTCCAGGGCGCGCCCGTAGCCCTCGCGGCTGCTCATGGGCTTGCGGTACTGGATGCTGGCGCTGTCGTAGGAGTACATGGTGGCCTTGGGGTCGCTCACGCCCGTGAGCACCTCGGAGCCGCTGGTCTCGTTCCTGATTTCCAGGGTGCTGAGGAGAATGTTGCCGTGAGCATCAACCTGAAGGAGGTAGGGATGACAGCTCAGCCAGGACACTGACTTTCCGTAGAATTGTTACCGGTGACACAGCACAGGACGCATTAATTTGTATGTATGTATGTATGTATGTATGTATGTATGTATGTATGTATGTATTTACTGTGATACTGGGAAGCTGTTCCCCAGCCTCGTACATAGCCATATCCCCAGACCTTTAAAAAAAAAAAAAAAAAACTTCTGAGACAGGGCCTGCTAAGTAGCCCAGGTTGACCTCAGGCCTTAGCCTTCAGAGTAGCTCTCCACTCTCCACTCCTAGGCATCCTTTACCTGTTGTTTTCTTTTGCCTTTATCTATTTATTTATCTATTTGGCAGGGGGTCTCACTATGTAGCTCAGACTCACAGTGATCCTTCTGTTTTCAGCCTCCCCAGTGCTGGTATTACAGGTGTGCACCACCACACCAGGTTTTGGGGCCAGCTAAGAGTGGGGCTGGCATGGCAAGGCATGTGGTATCTGGGACTGAACTCAGGTCCTTGTGCTTGCCAGGCAGGCACTTAGGCCACTGAGCTATATCCACAGCCCTACCCTTAATCATTTTTGATAGACATCAGGACCTATGTGTGTCCTGCACACAACTCTCTCTCTCTCTCTCTCTCTCTCTCTCTCTCTCTCTCTCTCTCTCTCTCTCTCTCTCCCTTCCCTTCATTCTCTCTCCTTTTCTCCCTCTCTCCTTTCCCTTCTTTCTGTATCATTTACCTTGCTAATTATCTAGTCCTTTATGTAGCTATTATGTCTCCATTCAGAAACATCTGTATGTCTATGAGTGTGTATGTCATCTGTTCTTGCTATAAAAATGTTACATGGAAAAAAGCTAGAAAAAAAGTAAAAAATTCATAATGCATCTTCATAGTCTACCAGTATCTTGCTAGCTTTCTGGTCTTTTCTGGTAATATATACTCACAAACACATGTTCATTCATGCATTTCACCTGGCAGAACTGCCTTTGTCAGTTATTAGTATGGCCTGTTCACTTTTGCATGTTAATAGATACCTTTCTGTGACATCATTTAGTAATACTTTACCTGGATAAACCATGATTGAGTTAATCTAAGATCTGCTTTACTTTTACACTGTATAAACAAGACTAGAAGAAATATCTTTTGTTAAATTGTGCATATCCATAGTTATTTCACCAGGCTAAATTGCTAGAAATGGGATTAATGGATCCAAGGATATATCTGACTTCACATGAGCATTTGTTTCTTGCCATTTTCCTCTGCTGCTTTCTGTCAGCCAGGTGATATGGATCCCAGACCTCCTGGTCATTTGCTATGCTGTGCCCAGGCAGATACTTTGGAACTACTGGTCATACAAGCACATGTTGGTCTCAAGGTGACTTGGTTTACTTTCAAGCTGGTATACTTTGTAAAATTATTACCTGGTAGCTTCTTGGCTCAAACCTGCACATGGATTTGATGTACTTCTGAGTGCAATATTGCAGTTGTGTTTAAAGCTAGTGGGATGTGCATAGTACCTGGATTACAATAAATGCTTCTGAATAAGATTAATCTTTATAAACTCTTGTTGGAGGCACAGAAGGCTAAAGGAGCCCAGTGGAGAAAGTGGTAGAGAAACAAAGCATAGGAAGAAGCAAAAAGAAGAGTAAAGAAAGGGGCAGAAGGAGTTCATGGTGCAGACTAGAGATGTATTGAGTGTCTACCATAAGCCCAGCACAAAGCTGTGTACATGCTACTTGTTTATGCTCACAGACTTCCAACCTGACAAGGAAAGCCATTCCATCCCCATGTTACAGATAAGGCTACTGACAGAATAGTTGGCATATGAGCTCACATCCACTTAGCCAGTAAGTGCTAGTCCTGAGATTAGAAGCCATGTCTCTCTGACTCAAGATCATGCACTTCCTGCTGAGCTGTGTCTAGTTCACAATCCTTGACTTTTGTCACATACTGCAGTGAATTTGGTGAAGCCTTAAACTTTAAGCCTTGAGTTGAATAGAGAAATGGTGATTGGCTCTAGTCTGTCTTTCCTTCTCCATTCTTAGCTGTTAGCATTTCCTTCTGTGAAGCATTTTCTAACTGGACTATTCACTCTGCCCTTACTCATCATACATCTAGTGGTTTCTTTATTTAGGGAGGTTCTTTGTTGTTAACAACTACTACATCTTAATCCTATTCTTTAATTTATTTCAATTATTTCTCTTAGCAGCACTATGACACACATAATGTTATGCTAGCTCAACTGGTAAGGAACCTGAGGCCCAGAGAAGGTGACAATAAATTGCCTAAGATTAAGCAAATAGCTACCCAGTTTGGAATTAAAATATAAGATGCCCTCTGCCTCGAATATTCTTTTCTTTCCTCTTAGCATGTTAATCAAATCAATCTATTTTCTCCAATTTAATTCCTACATTGTCTGTGTACCTTTGGGCCATTCCTTATTTGAAGCATAAAAATTTGTTACCTAAACGAGTCCCAGTCCAGGATCTATGAAAGAAAAACAAACTCATACCTCTGTCCAGTGATCTCAGTGGGAACCTCCAAATGGCATAGGGGGAAAAACTGATCTTGGGTGGATGACCTCCAAATGATATTGGGGAAAAAATGAATCCCCCAACCTGAAAGGTACCTGGGAAAAGTTCGTGTTCTCTAAAACTGAAGAATGAATTTTAGGTACAAATGGAGGTTATGAGCAGACTATATTTACTGGGAGAAAGAAAGCTCCTATCTGAGAGAAGGACAGAAGGGGAGCCCCAAGCAGGTAGTTCTCTGAACCTTTCCTTATAATGGTAATCTCAGGTACTTTCTCCAAACTCTAATTAGTGTGCCAGATACAGTGTTAGGAGCCAAGGATGTATGTTGAACAATTAGTGTTCTTAACATTAAAAACCTTAGCAATGATTTTAAGAGAATTTACAGGCTCAGATGCATAGTGGTACCAAGAAGCATAGTTAGGTAGAGGCTGGTTAGTATAATAATTGAGTGTAGCTAGGATATGGTTGAGCAAATGTCTAAGTCGGTCACTGTAAGTCAGATTCAGCAGATATCTATGGATCTGACATTGCTGGAGAATCTAAGCATCTAGGTTTGTATTTAAGTTTTCTATGTAAACTTAGCTCAATGTTGTAACCATGTTCTTTTGGCAAAACAACTCATTTGTGTCAGGTTGTCATTCTGAAAAACCAGTTAGGGATCGTTGGTCTTTTCTATTCCCCTACCCTTTAGCATCTACTATTGTATCTTGAAAGTGAATTTTAGGTTTATATCCAACTTTCCCCTTGGAGGATCCATGAGCAGTAGGGCATTGCAATAAAATGGAAGGAGGAACTATGCCAAAGAGGGATTTGCAAAAAAGAATTAAAACTTATATATAATTAACCTGATTGGATTTACACACTAAGGTAAAGAAGACAATTTGGAATTTTTCAGCTTGCTGAGCTGAGAGGATTAGATTGTCATTAGCAGAAATGGAGACTTCAGTGTGTGGCAATCTTAGGAGTAAGAAAACATTTGCTATTTGGGTTGAATATGTAGTGTATGTTGGTGGCAGACACCTAGTATATTTTTGTATGTAGTGGCGACCAAAATAACTTTGGGATTGATAAGATTTAAGGTGTAGAATACAAGATAGTGAAAGTGACAACAAAACCCAAAAAAGGTAGGAGAAGAATAAGAGAATGCTGTGGTGGAAAATTTAAGAAAGAAGGAAAGTGGTCAATAGTATTTCTCAGAGAGAATAGGAGGAATGAAATTGTAGAAAATGCTTACTGATTCACCAGTAGAGACCACGTGTGGTCTTAGGAAAAAGCTGAATCATAAGTCAGATGGCAAAGAATCAAAGAATTAAGAACTGAGTTGATAGTGGGGGATGAAGGCATTTTATATGGATTCTCTTTTCCAAAGATTGTAGTTCCAAGCAAGAAAGACAATAGAACATTAGCTCACACATATCAGGATAGGGTGTTGAGTGAAAATGAGGGAATCAATTATGGAAAAGAAGAACTGATAAAGGGCAATTTTCTGTGATGAAATCTAAAGTCATAGATGTGGAAGGATAGCAAAATGCCTTCAGAACTGGAAGTTAAACACATGGTGGTCAGGAAAGTAGAACATTTCTGAGTGATAGAGCCATCTGATACAAGGGTGTGCTAATACTTCCTTGAGGCTTGAGGTTGGTTAATGGTGAAGGTCACTGGACATGGTGAACTGGATGTATATCCAGCCTATAGTGTGTGTGTGTGTGTGTGTGTGTGTGTGTGTGTGTATCATACTGTAGTGTAAGTCTAATGTTGAAAAAGTAACAAATATGAAAATTAGCACTGATAAGGATAATAATTTTGAGGGGACAAAGACAAAAATGTTGAATTCATTGAAGGGGGAATGATATTTTAAAAGGGGAAAATGAAACACATGATTTTTCTAGATATTGTGGAAAATAAAAACAACATTTGGGGTTTTGTCCTTAAGGGATAATTATCTCTTCAGAAGTACCTGGTTAAGCCATAATAATTGGAGTGGCGATGAAGAGCTTTTAACCACATGCTACCACACGGCTTCAGGGTAAGAGGATCATAATAGTGAAAGCACTGGCGATCACGGAAGGCCTCAGGAAACTATGGGTCCGCTATAGAATCTAGGGTAGATGGGGAATAAAGGGCTGGGAGCTGAAAACTTTGTTTTCATCTTGGGTTTGTTATTAATGTGTGAGAAATAACCTTAGGTAAGTCTGGATTTTAGTGTCCTCATATATAAGTGGAAGGTTTTTCTTAGATAATCTCAAGAGTTGTTTCCAATCTTTTGCAGTCTTCAATCATGGAGAACATTCCAGGTGGAGGACCCAACATTCTAAAAAAGCAAAACACAACTTGTAAAACTGAATCTCTTGATCTATACATCATTAAGTTACATTATTATTATGACTGTCTCTAAACAAGTTTATAGAATTTAGAATCATCCAGTGAAGCAGTCAGGTACTTCTTATTCAATAGAAATCATGACAAAGTGC